CTCTACCATTAGTCTGTCAATCAAGTCACTGGTGTTCCTGTGAGTTGTACAGACACAAAGCAGTGCCGACAAATTATTTGCTTTTGCTCAATGTAGTCTCTATGAAATCCAGAATATTTCCATACAGCAGAATGTGAATGTCTTTTGATTAACACATGCAGAGCTAATCTCAATGCAGCTGACTATAGTGGTGTTTCGACTGAAAAATTGCACATCACGTCGGCCTAATTTGTAGCAATGCTTTTTCATGTCAACCTGATATCGGCTTTAAGCGAGGTCACATGCCGATGTGGCCAGCGCTGCGTGTTCTCAAAGCAGCGATGTCCCCCGCGCAACCCTGTTTGAACCCCTGTACACATTATCTTGGTACACCCACTGTGCCTGCCCAAAAAAGCGCAGGAGCCGGGGGTCCCAGACCATGCCACGGGTTGCGAAAGAGTCCAGACCATAGCGGCAGAATGTGGCACCTATTAATACACCCCGACAGCTGCAGAAGAGGAGCACCGCGTCCCCTCGGGATGTGCGGCGCACAGCTGCCACCTGCACGTTCACATGATGAGCCATGAAGCACCGACATGAGTTCAGGGAGGCCCCACCGTACTAGACGGGATCTAAAACAAACAGCTAACTGGGGTTAAAACGACACACAATATCCACATGGCATGGATTAAACCAGATGCTGAGGAACTAATCCACGTCCATCACACACTCGCTTTTTACTGGTCTGCCACAGAAAATGTTTAACAACAAAATGCAGCAACAGAAACATTTAAGGTAAAAATGTATAATATTATATCTCTGCTATTATATGCACATTGGCTGTCAGTAAATTATAATGGTCATCTCAGGGAACATTTGATGCTTTTTAATGATTTAGCATTTTACAAGCTGTCAAGATACATACAAAACTATTGCCTTTCGTAAGTATTCATCATTGATTTGCTAATAACCAAATTCTTTGCCGTCTTTGAAATTGATTTGTGTTATTGGGTGTCCCATTATATGATTTTAGTTTATGATCTTATGGTGACGATAGTTGTACTGGGAGAGCTGGTTGAGCCGCATAATACTGGGATGGGTAGGGAAGTGTGGGTATACTGGGGATGGGGTCACTATGAGAGGGAAACAGGCTAAACGCTAAACAGCAAATCTGACATTTTGGGAGGGGACCCTTCCCCCCCCCCAATGCACGATGCCCTTGGATAGAGAACCCAATACACAGAAGGCAAAACATAAAACAAATAACAGCCATTTCATGACGATACAGAAATACGTGTCAGATTCAGGTATGACCTGTGCAGGATGAGCATCAGCATCTCATTAGGCACGCCTGAGAGAGAAACAGAATTCTTCAGTTTACATCAGTGTGCACACCTGTACTGGGGGGATCCTGTTTGCATTTCTAATTTCACTGTCTCCCTGATGGTCTGGTACTACAACTGAGGGTCAGGCTTACCAGAATCAACAACAGCTAGTGATGCACCCATCCAATATTCGGATCCGTAACGGCGCAGATCCAGGCCTGTTTGACGGATCGGGTATCGGCCATACGTGACCAATCCACATCCAATACTTACTTATTTAGGTTTTGGCAGCCTCTAAAAAGACAGATTTAACAGGAAATTGGAGTTATCTGTAAAATCAAACAGATTTTAGATGTTTTTGCGTCATTCAGGTTAAATGCTAACACTGCCTCTCACCACTCAGTAAGAACTCAACGTAAGAACATCAGATAATAGGGTGACGATCTGGAAGTATTTTACGTGTCTAACGGCAACTAGTAGCACAGCAATTCGCAATCTTTGTAAAAACAAAGTTTTCAGAGGTGGGAGTAGCGTTTACAATAATTCTGTATGCGCAAAATCCCACTAAACAAAGCACGCGTAATTGTGCGAGACAACACCATTAGTGTGAAAAATGCAATTCATGATTTGGGAGTTGCTGGCTGGGGCTGTTCTGCTCACTTGCTGCAGCTTGATGAGCTGCTATTGCAATGAAGTGTAAGTGACACTGTTGCCAGTAGGAGAAAAATTGTGGGACATTTTAAACATTTGGCACTTGCATATACTCTCTTTGAAAATACTGAAATTGAACTGAAAATGCCTCAAAAACGCTTAAAACAAGATTAACCCTTAAAACAAGTAAGGTTGCTGTTGTTAGGGATGGGCCGATTCACATTTTTTCAGTTCCAATCCGATTCCGATACACAACTTCCCATACGGATACAGTATCTCATACAAGATCTCTTTTTACTTTAATATTTTAATACTTTAGATATGATTCATATTTTCCAACTAGTAAATACAGATTAAAAAAAAATAATTAGGCTACCAGAAACATACATAACGTACTGTTCCTCACAGGCAATTTTCAGGAAGTGCCCCAAAACTCTCACTCCCCCATTTTAAGAGAAGTTAGGGCATCCAAGAGCAAAACAATGGAGTCTTATTCTCATCCAAATGTCTCATTGCAAAGCAAACTTGAATCAAGACAAGACAAACGGGAAGTAGACTGCAAGGCCTCTGTCCACTTTCAGTGAGACTGTCATCAAAGTTGACCAGAGCTGCTGGTTATGAGGTGAGGCGTGACGGGGTCATTCCATTTTAATTCGACAAAATGGTCTGTGCATCAACATTTTTGATTTGCATGAAATCTGGCATGTGAATTATACTTCCAGGGCTCAGAAATGGTTTTTTGATACTTTTAATTTTTGAGAATGTATTCCTATGGGCTGTAACTTTCTTATTATTACAGCTACATGCTCGGCTGTAGCTCATTGGGGAGTGCAGTGAGTTCTTTTTCATGGGATAGCTGGAAAAGTGAAATCTGCCTGGCCTGCATGACACTTCTGATAATGGGAACAAAGCTATGGAACATCTGGGTTTGAGGGACCGGTTGTGCCATTTGGAATCTGTACTGAAGCGTCTTTTCTGTCTGCTTAATTTTCTTCTTAAATTTCTTCTTACTTTAAACTTTCACAAGAGTCGAAGTTTCTTCAAAAATGATGACGCCAAAACTATTTTGAAATTTGCCATATTTAAATGGAATGATCTGGTGGTAACCACACATTTGGAACTACGGCCTTCCTTCCGGTCATTCATACCATTGCACCTGGATGCCGGAGGTGGATAGTTTAGGTCCAGAAAGTAAAAATCCAGCAAAAGATCTTGTTTCAACCAACTAGTTGAGTACTCTGTGACTGTTACTCTTTATACTCACCTGGTTAGCTGAAACAAAATCTTGGTCTGGACTTTTAATCTTTGGACCTGAACTATCCATCTCTGCAGCATGCAATTCCCTATCTGTCATTCCAATATTACTGTGTCTTCTCCGCATCACCCTCAAATGCATACCAGTGCACACACCTCAGAATCGTCCAGTCAAACTTCATTCTATAACAACACTTAAGTGGAATTTCTTGGGTTTACCCCATTTAGGCAATACTTGTTTACACAAGTAATACTCCACAGCCGTAGTTTCATACCTTTCCATAGTATGACTTCATTGAAAACCAGCATGTTTGTTAAGGACAAAAACAAGCAGCATAATTTCTTTTCTCTGCAAACAGGTGTCTGTTGCATGACATCTACTAGTATTGTGTGCCTCCCCCCCCCCATCCCCACCTTGCTCTCCACTCAATGATGTTGTTTATGATATGAGCTCATGATTTGAGGAATACGTGTGACAAAACACTGCATGGCAAGACTCCGCATGCCAGCCATCCATGCAGATTAACCTGCTGGGATCCACTGGAATGAGTGTACCAGTTACACTGAGCACCCCACGTCCATGACGCACCATTTGCTGGGACAAAATCACATTTGCTTCCAGCATTTGGAAGGTAACTCTGATTTACAACTCATTCAAAGGTATATGGTTTATTTCCATTGGAAACTCCCTAGACAATGGTACACAGAGTAGTTGGTTATCTGCCTTGGCCCTTGGTATGTACTACAGGTGTTAGCACCATCTTTCTGCAGTCTCTTATCTGGTTTGGATGGTACTTACCTATCTCCTCTACTTCTGATCTAGGAGCACTGGATACTATTAAGGGTCTTATGTCATCGACATATGAGACACATTTATTTAACAGACCCAGAACACAAAGAGGTTCCACATTCTAAGTACTGGGCCATTTGGAATCACAGTCAAACTCAGCTTTTGCATAAGTATAATATTTTAATTTCTTAGCTACTATGATTTCTGATACAACTATTTCCTGAGCGTACAATAATTCTGTAGGCGCAAAATTTCTTTCTGCATTCTTATTTTTGTGTGTTCCCTCTAACTGTAACGGTTTAAGTTTAAAACATGCCTTATTGTTTATTTGTTTAGCATCTTTTATACACTGTTTTTGTCTTTTTATTTTCTTTGAAAATCCTATGCCTCATATTCCAACATCTTCCTTTTAACTTGCCCATATCTATGGCGTACTGAGGGAAACGCTGCCAAATACAAGATTTTCCCCATCTACTGCTAAAAAGCGTTCCACGTTAACATAATATATAGGAATTAAGCCTGTAGTCCATCAATAACTTAATAGTTTCAGAGTTTCCAACTAATCTCTTTTCTTTACAACTGAGTACATACATTAATATTGACTTGGAGGTTTACACAAGGTAAAGCTCCGTAAAATAAGACTGAAAAGATTTCAGATCATAGAAAATTAACTCGACCCTGCAATTTACACCTCAGACGAACACACAGGTGAACCAGTTTGCAGTGGTTAAAATAAATGTAAGACGAGTGACATGCTATGTACTGATGGTATTGCGGGACTTTAACAACGCATTTAAATAATTCCCACCATATTTAACCTAATGAATACCCTGGCATTTACACGAAACATCGCTTTATATTGACAGGTTTTGTGAAAACTGATTTATAGATTGTTCATCCAGTAAAACTGTTTGCATATTTATTAAGGAAACTGTTTTTCTACCATGAAAGTCATAAACAACTCGAATGTAAGCACAAGGTTTAAAAGCACATTAACCTACCTTAAAATATTTTGGAGTCCGATGACAATTCTTTTGTTTTAACGTCTTCCTTACATTTTTTTATACGGAACTCGAGGCGGTCACCTCCCCGAACCTCCTCTACTAAAGCCGAGGCAGAACAGCCTTTAGTCACAGTTTCTTAAAAAAAAAAAAAAAGGACTCGCGAAAACGTTACACTCTTCTCAAATTTTCATCCATAACTTTTCCTTCAAAAGATATTTTAAAACCGTGTCATATTTGGGAGAATCGTTTTAAATGCCACGCGCATAAATCGTTGCGCGTGAAGGAAAAAAAAGTATAAATAAGTTCACCTGCAGCGTTTCACTGATTTCAGACGTGCAGAGCCGGACTGAACAGCCCTGCTCTCGTCAGTACCAACACCAGCTCTCCGATATCTAATGCACACCTATTTACTGGATTGCACGATATCCAGACTGTAGCTGCCATGCACGGCTTCGTGACCCTGCTCTGCAGGCGAGGTTAGCGTGTGTTTCTCGTAGGCGGCCAGTTCGCGTCCAGCGGCATCTCGCTCCCGCGAGCACTGACTGCGAACGGACACGCGCTTCGGCGGCGCTCTCAAGCTCGGGCTCATGGTGCCTCCAAGACCGCTTCAGTGTACAATCCGAGGCGGGTCTAAGGCGATCATGCTGAAGGCGTGATTTATAGATTGTTCTTCCATTAATACTGTTTAAAAATTTATTAAAGAAATGTGTTCTTCCATGAAAGCCATAAACATCTATTAAAATAAATATTGAAAAACAAATATCAGCACAAGGTTTCCTGTAAATACCACGGTATTGATTAGGTTGAATATGGTGGGAATTATTTAAATGCAAAAAAGTTCCGCATTATCAACAATACATATAATTTCACTCGTTTTACATTTATTTTAACCACTGCAAACTGGTTCACCTGTAAATTACAGTGTCAAGTGAGGTAATTTTATATGTTTTGAAATCTTTTCAGTCTTACGTTATACGGGCTTTTACCTCGTGCAAACCTCCAAGACAAAATTCATCTAGGCCTATGTGCTCAGTCGCAAAGAGAATTAGAGAATAGTTTAACATCATTATTCACTATATATATGTGTATTCGATGGCCTATGGTAATTTGAAAATTGTTATGCGTCATTTTCCAGTGAGGCAGCGTTAAATTACTTCCAATACAACAAACAACCAAGTAAACAAGAAAACAAACCCTTTTTTTTACCCCAAGTTTAATGTTGACATCTCACGACTACTTAAACTGCTCCTTTATGTAATTTCTTATATCTTTTGTGACCGTACAATACTATAACAAAGTAATTTATACTTCTTAAAAACGATCACACATGATAATTTTCATATTTTACTGTAACTTTAACATTTAAGGCAGAAAACATATTGCAACAAAATATTATGACTCGCAGTTGGTATTTATCATGATCCCTATTCTCTTTAAGTACAGAATAAATATTTTTACGGCGTTTTAGGTCGACTGCGATTAGTATGTTTAGTCTTTTACGGATAATGTATTTTTCCTTCCTGTGGCTGAAGAAAATGCATGTATTCCATCCATATATCTTTCGTTACCGTTAAGCGAAGTGCAGGGCACGTTGGACCTACGTGTAGCTTAATCATGGACAGGAGACACCGTAGACGGAATGGATACATTGATTTTTCGTATTAAATCTGTAATCCATTAGTCCTGCTAGTTATACAGAAATAGTTATACATTATTAGCATCATGCAACAGCCACTGCACGATCATAACATTCCCAGCTGAGTTAAAGAGGGCTGCAAACGTCAATTTAACATAAGTGACCTGTCTTTGCCAAAAGGGTGTGTTTGTGTCTGTGTGTTTAGAGGATTTAGGATATATTTAGATTTTTTTATTTATTTTGTCTAAGGCGACGTACAAACGTGAGCCAAATGGCACATACCTTATCAACTTGGTAGGTTTGAGGACAAAAAGGAAAAGAACGCTCCCTGCTGGATATTTAATGTCAACTCATAATATTTATAGTACATACTACAAATGAAAATGAGATAGAAAGTGGTGCAAATTAATGAAGAGATATGTAAGAAATGTATATTTATTAAGATGGATGTATATTTTAGTATATGTGCTGTGCGTAGCTGTACATTGACAGGTAGTATGTTGTAGTTGGTTTAAAACGCCGTGCAGTTGTGTTTTGTGGCTGGGGTAAGTGTGAGCTAACTGGCAGGTGCCATTGTAGTCAGAATTTACTTTTTAGCACACCATAGTATAACAAGCCAGTGAATAACAATGAGCCAAGATAGCACCCCATTGAGCAGATGGGCAGAATTGTTCATAATGTTCTCCAATTTTGCCACCATCTTCTACTCTGAAAGTCCTTCAGGGGTCCAAGGCCTCTCTTGAAATAGAGCCACCTTTCCTAATGACTTTGTTCAGTCACATGTGGCAGTCACATGCTGGTTCAACTGATCTTGCCCAGGAGATAACAGTATAGAGAAGCACATTGGTTTGTGTGGTGTGGTAAAACATCTTCATACTTGCTACATATGTTATTAGTCCCACCCAGACCATTTCCTTCCCCTGAATGGTGATCATACTTCTTACTGTGCATAACCCATGGAATACGTGTGTGTAAAAAGGTCTTCACACTGCATAACCTCATGTCATCACACCAAAGCAAACTCATCACGATATACATGTGTAATTATATTCACAGATTATTTCCGCACAATGTTTCAGTACAGTTCATGGGTAATCAAATTCCAGATTTGCACGTACTTGATTATATGCGTCCGACACAAGGTTACTCATTAACTTTTGTAGACTTTAGTCTACACTTAAGAGAGAAAGGACATCACACAGAAATACAAGACTTACTTCACAAATAGATTTTTAAGGTAAGAAATTTTTAAGTAAAATTGTGTAAAATAATCCAAAAGATAACAGTAGGCCTACGTCGGTAATGATGATGTGGACCAACTTGACCATACAATATATATTTAATCAATAGAACTCCACATTTTGTAGTGACAAAACTAGAACATCAAAATCAGCATCTGGAAATAGTCTCCTGAAGGGTGTTTTATCTGGTATAACAAATGTTGGATTCAAGCTCTTAAACGTTGAAATCTATATAACTGAATGACCTACCATTAAAGATCAATTACTCTATGCCTGAATGAAATATATTTGAATAGAATTACATAGGCCATGTAGTCTGAAGCATGCAAAGCACTGCATGGGGTGAAAGTGACAGTTCAGCTCATCCTAGACTAGAGTGTGTCCGTAGCCAGAAACATCATTTTAGTGCTACTAGTATATAGACCACTATGCCAAGTAATTAAATACTCAAATAATTAAAATTTCCAGAAATATTGTATATTCACCTCTGCCCACAGATTTATAGCCTAAGCATAAACCTAATTTCAGATCGACACGGGTGAAAGATGAACGACATTTATGAGAATGACAATGACATTTCATTCCCAGTCAAGGTAAGCTGCCAGTTTCCTCCTGAAGGACAGAAAGTTTCTTAAATGACACTGTAACTGACTGCTCCCAATCCTTACTGAGTCTTAACTCCTCCATAACTGTGTGTAACAATATGCGATCAATTACAGTTTGTCGGTCGCATAGAAGTTGTTCGACCAGTGGGATTACAACTTCTAAGTGAGGCACTGGCCAGTTTGAAGGTAAAATAACATTATCTTTGTGAAAGCTGAACTTCATAACTGTAAGGTTCACGTTGTAAATAAAGTAGTATTTTGATTCATATTCTGCATTTAAATTATGATTACATAAGCTAGTGATGTTACATTCATCTTTCAGCTTGAGAATAGAATATTTATAAAATTATTAGTAAACTGCAAAATATATGCAAAATATACTTCCTGAAAAGAAGTACTTTTTGTGTCGCCTAAAGTCTTGTGTATCTTGTTATCATAGAACTCAGATCACGTTACAAGCTCAGAGGGAAAGGGGAAGAAAAGCAAAGTTTCACTGTTTCTGTCCATGAATGGAATCGATATTCTGGAACATGATACAAAGGTAAGACTGGAACTAATGAAAGGAATAAAACTGAATTGATGCACTTTGTTGCCAACCAGAGACTAAGCATCCAACCATTGTGGTAACACTTTACTTGACGGGGCACAAATCATATAGTATTATACTATTAATTTTATATTAATTAACCACAAACTAAGTCTTAGTTACATACCGATCTAATGTTAATTCATCATTTATGAATTGTGATACTCATCTCATGTTTGTTCATCATTAATGAATAGTGACGCATCTTTTATCTCAAGGAGTGACTATATTTGTTCATGATTTGTTCATAGTTTGTGCTTCAGAAGTAATCACTAAGTTGCCCTGTCAAGTGGAGTGTTACCAATTTGCAAACACAAACCAATTTAATTGCTTAAATAGGGCCAGTGTTTCATGTGTTTAACCGAAACAAAAACAATATCTATGTAGAACAACCAGCAGATACTGTAGCAGATATAGCAGCTGATGTTTAATGTGAAAATTCTGCAAGTTGTCAATTGCTATGTATGAAGTAAGACTAAGTGAAAAGGATTTATATGTTAAAATTTAATAGATCATTGTAATTTGTGTCCCATTATGAAAATTAATTTCACTCAATTTTTCCATCTCACCTCTTTTCCTTCAATCCTCTTTATTTTTCTATCCTCTTCTCTGGCCTGTCCATTTTTTTGTCATCAACCCTGCACACTCTACCCTACCCCCAACCCAGTTTATGCTGTACACCTGTCCACTGTTCTTAGTCTCATTCTGTGCCGTTCACCCGACTCTGCCCAACCACTTTGGCTTTGTGGCCCAGCATCCTGCCTCTGACGCCTACTACTGCTACCTGTTTCGGAGCAAGAAGTTTGTGAGTGAAACCACAAAAGAAAAGCTCTCTCCCTGTTGGGGAAGGAAGCAAATGCTCACGTCAGAAACACCCCTGGGTCCTTTATCTTGGCACTTATACCGAGGCAATGAAGTACATAAAAGCAAGCTTAATAAGGTCTAGATAAGTCTAAATTAATGTGAGAGAAGATTGATGTTTTGGAAAAGAATTCAGGTGAGGTGAGGTCATGTTGGGGAGCATGCGCTGGTGCAGCGCGTTGCCACACCCACCACACGACGAAACACCTCGGTATTCCAGACGGTGACCCCCCCAAGGCTGACACACAGTCCAGTTCCACCCTCCAGAAGTACCTATCTATCTGCCACAGCCAGGTGTTACGTGGGCGTCTCCTTGGCCTGGTCCAGCCGCTGAGGTCCTCAGCAGTGAGGATCCTGCGAGCCGGATCACCCTCAGGGAAACGCGCCACATGGCCGTAGTGCCGTAACTGACGCTCCCTCACAATGCAGGTAATGTGCCTCATTTGAGACTCCCTGGGCGACAGCTCGTTCAACACAAAGAGACACAGTACCAAAGGAGTCCAGTCTTCATCTCAGGTCACTGGATAGCATCCATACCTCAAGACAGGGAGCACCAGTATCAATTATCTATATGCTATCTGCATAAATAACGTTTAGAAATGACTATGTTACTACTGAGCTGTGTTACCAAATCTAAAGCTTTCTGACCAAAAGACGAAAGTGCGCCGAAGGTTAGTGAAGAACTTGTGAGAACAACAGTTCTGTTGATTCCCCCCCCCACTTCTCTTGCATACATCCTTCCTCTATGGTTTTCAGTCTCACCTGCTGGTGTCACTCATTGGTGATGCCTTTCATGCTTCCAAGAGGGATGAGAACATCGGTCGCAACAGGGACCTGGTGGTGGAAGCTCTCCGTCACAGGGTATGCTGTACGGGGCACGTCCTCACCTGCAAAGCACTCGAGGCACATGCACCTACAAATGCCTCTTGACAGATCCATGTAAAATGAGGATGTCCACCCATCCATTTACTATCAATGACCAATTATGCAATTAGAATTGTGGTAGTTCTTTAAGAGTTCATCCACAATAGGAATTTGATGTTGTTGATGGTATGTTATTTAGTAGACAGAAAATTACACTATATAATTCATTATACTCTCCTCATCAGATTTACACGTTCTTAATGTTCTTGACCAGTGTTTCTCAACCCAGTCCTTGGGACTCCCTAGATCAGGGGTCACCAACATGGTGCCCGAGGGCACCAGGATGCCCCCAAGGACCACATGAGTCGCCCGCGGACCTGTTCTAAAAATAGCACAAACTATTGAAATAAAGGATAAAATTAAAATTTAATTTTATCCTATTGCTATTCTTCTCACATTTCTTATCACATTTGCATTTATATACAGTGCATTCAGAAAGTATTCAGGCCCCTTTCAATTTTTAACCATTTGTCATGTTGTAGCTTCATGCTAAAATTATGTAAATTCATTTTTGTTCCACATGAATCTACACTCAGTACCCCATAATTATAGCACAAACACAGAATTATAGAATTTTTCTGCAAATTTATTAAAAAAGAAAAACTGAAATATGAAATGGACGTAAGTATTCAGACGCTTTGCTGTGACACTGACATATTTAACTCAGGTGCCGTCCATTTCTCTTGATCATCTTTGAGATGGTTTTACACCTTGACTGGAGTCAAGCTGTGTTAAATGAAATTGATTGGACATGATTTGGAAAGGCACACACCTATTCATAAAAGGCCTCACAGCTCACAGTGCATATCAGAGCACAAACTAAGCCATGAGGTCGAAGGAACTGCCCGAAGAGCTCAGAGACAGGATTGTGGCAAGGCACAGATCTGGACAAGGCTGCAAAAAAAATTCTGCTGCAGTTAATGTTCCCAAGAGCACAGTGGTCTCCATAATCCTTAAATGGAAGAAGTTTGAGACAATCAGGACTCTTCCTCAAGCTGGCTGCCCGGCCAACCTGAGCAATCAGGGGAGAAGAGCCTTGGTGCGAGATGTAACCAAGAAGCCAAAGATCACTCTGGCTGAGTTCCAGAGATCCTTAGTGGAAATGGGAGAAAGTTCCAGAAGTACAACCATCACTGCAGCCCTTCACCAATCTGGGCTTTATGGCAGAGTGGCCCAGCGGAAGCCAATCCTTAGTGCAAGACACATGGAAGCCTGCATAGAGTTTGAAAAAAAAAAAAACATCTAAAGGACTCCCAGACTGTGAGAAATAAGATTCTCTGGTCTGATGAAACCAAGATTGAACTCTTAGGCTTTAATTGTAAGCGGTATGTGCGGAGGAAACCAGGCCCTGCTCATCACCTGCCCAATACCATCCCCACAGTGAAGCACGGAGGTGGCAGCATCATGCTGTGGGGGTGTTTTGCAGCTGCAGGGACTGGGCGACTGGTCGCAGTTGAAGGAAAGATGAACGTGGTGAAGTACAGAGAGATCCTGGATGAAAACCTAGTCCAGAGTGCTCAGGACCTCAGACTGGGCCAAAGGTTCACCTTCTAACTGGACAATGACCCTAAACACACAGCCAAAACAATACAGGAGTGGCTTATCAACAACTCTGTGAATGTCCTTCAATGGCCCAGCCAGAGCCCTGACTGAAACCCAACTGAACACCTATGGAGAAACCTGAAAATGGCTGTACAGCAGAGTTCCCCATCAAAATTGACAGAGCTGTGGAGGATTTGCAAAGAATCGTGGCAGAAAATCCCCAAATCCAGGTGTGGAAAAACTTGTTGCATCATTCCCAAGAAGACTCATGGCTGTATTCGCTCAAAAAGGTGCTTCTACTAAGTACTGAGCAAAGGGTCTGAATAATTACATCCATTTGATATTTCAGTTTTCCTTTTTTAATAAATTTGCAAAAAAATCTATAATTCTGTGTTTGTGCTGTCATTATGGGGTACTGAGTGTAGATTCATGAGGAACAAAAATTAATTTACATAATTTTAGCATGAAGCGACAACATGACAAATTGTTAAAAATTTAAGGGGTCTGAATACTTTCTGAATGCACTGTAGATTTGAAAATACAATATCTAAAAAAAAGCATTTAAAACGTGTTTATTATACTGAGCAAATTTGTTATTTAAGAAGAGTGTATCAAACTGGTAGCCCTTTGTATGGCTCAGTACCTGTGAAGTAGCTCTCAGTTTCAAAAAGGTCGGTGACCCCTGCCCTAGACAGTCCACGTTGCCCCCCAGTTCCCTGCCTATGTTGGGGTCCCAGAAGACTGGGTTAAGGAACACTGTTCTTGATGACTGTGTAAGGCCTTCACAGTTGTGCTGTCAAGAATATTCATGAAAATTAAGCCACTTATCACACTAGTGTGGTTCCTCCTATGTACTACAGTGTCGTCTTAGTTCTGGTGGTACTGGTTTCCGCCCATTGCAAGGGCTCGTAACTCTACACCTCATGCTTTTAGAATAAGACACTGCTTAAGGAGAATGCAGAGCTCAAGAGGAGAATTGCTGCACTCACCCAGGGGGAGGAATTGGATGAGGACTCACTTGGGGTGAGTGTCTTCACTGATGCATTAAATGCATGGTATTGGCACGTCTGGCACCTGACAAATCAGAATCCTTGACATATTTCTGTGCTCTGTGCAGTCAGCATTCCATCAGAAATACGATACTGTTTCCTATTCTTAAGTCTTCTACTTTCTAACTCTCAGGAAGGAGATGTGGATGTCATCAGAGATAAAGTATTTTCAGAAGCTGAATCTAAAACCCCTGGTAGGTGTATATGGGACACATGTAAAAATCCAACATACATTCAAACACCATCTACACCTGTATAATACCTGCCATTATTTTCCAATACACTGCTAAGGTGTAATTCTGTATTCAATGAAGGAATGATGTTAAAGAATATTTGTGATATTAGTAATGTAACTACTGTGTTTTTTTTAGTAGTCAGATTTCAAGCTGCAAGTGACAGAATGCCTTTGCTCAAAAAAACATGAAGTCAGAGTGTTGAATCTTCCTGGAGTATAACACAGGATGGGGAACACACACTGTGCGAAAGATCTCAACCCACAACTGAAGTATATGTGTAATAAAATTATCATGAGAGCTTGTAACAGGTACACGGGGTATGATGTTAATTGAATTCAAATTGGTAGAGGAATTTTACTATTTTGCTTTGCATTTTGTTCTGTTTTCTGGTAAATGTTGTTTCAGTAATTTGTGAACATTCATTTTGGTGAAAACTACATTGATTTTGAGATAATTGACATTGTACTGTTTACCTCATTTGTGTATTTAAAAGTACTGCTAATCTGATGGGTGTTTCGGCTGCATGTGACCTTTGACACATACTACTACTGACTCTCTATGTTTCTTGCTCATCACTGTACCCACTTCTCCATGATAACCTAACAAATGTTCATTTTAAATTGTAGGCAATAGTGACTCTGTAGTATAAGTCTAGTCTTACTAGGAATAACTGGCAAATTTTCTGGTAATGCATATTTTCTTGGCATAACATTAGTTTAATGAAATTTATCAGAAACAAATAAAAATACATGTAAAAAATTAAAAAAATAAGAAACTGTCATTAATAAAAAATGTTAATAAAAATACCAATTCATATTTTTGGCATTTGATATAAAGGCAATGTCATCTGCGTCAACCCATTATTTCAAACTTGATTTAGTACTGAAACTGGCATCTTTTCTCATGACTAGATATCAGGAGGTTAAGTTTCATAATACACAACTTTGCAAAATTAGCTAACAGACTTCAACCAAAACCAAACTCACCCACAGTTTTTATGCTGGGGTTAATGCCAGAGGAAATTTGGAACTCCAGAGTTATTGAGTCAACAGAGCGTTGGCGACTTTTACACAGTTCGCGCCTCAGCGCTTGGCAACCCCTCTCTGTTACTTTACATGGTCTGCCACTTTGGGGCTGAGTTTCTGATGTTCCAAACACTCATGAGTTTGTACACTACTCTGGTAAAAATAAAAAATACCTGGTTTTAAAAGTACCTAAGCAATAAATACTATACATTCAAGTCTGTGGAAAATGAAAGATCAATATAAG